ATATAGGTAGGGGTGTAAATAATAATCGTTTTGTATCGATGCATTGATCCAACAGCTGACGATCCGATGAATCAATACGTCCGCAAGAGAATCGATTCATGTTTTGTTTTTTCCTCCGGTCTATTTTTATCCATTTGCTCCTGGGCGTAATTCTCCTCCTGTGCTGCGGTGCCGCTAAACCTATTTTGCCCTCCTACCGCACTTCCTGGTTATACTCTTACAGCAATGTGTTGCAGTGAGCTTAACACAGACATTTTTAAATTATGCTCAATATTGAAGCGTGGTCTGTGCTACACACTGTGGGTCTAGATACGGCCGTGGCGGCGAGGAAATGGGGGGCGAGTTTAGTCCGACGACGGAGGGACATGAGGGCCAAAAAGGGTGAAGATCCAGGTGGAAAAAGGGTCCCAGCGTTCTCACGCACCTCACTCTTCTACTGGGTCAAACTTCACGAGTTGTTTTCCGCAATTTCGGTCATAAAAACAAAACAAGCCGGCCTATAATATGGTCAGACATAAATAAATAAAATAAAATCCTAAATAAGGCTGCCAAGAATGCCCATAATAGATGAATATAAAAGCGTATGACAATTATTTTACCATGTTTATAAAATTCCTACAACAGAACATTTTAAAAACATTTGGTTACATAAACAGAAACACTTAAAACTGCATAAAATCCAGAATGTCAGTTAGTAACAAAGGCTATAATTATAGACTTATCTATATTGAAAAAAAAAACAGTTTTAAAGTCATACGACTGATATTGCATTAAATTACACTGCGATACATAGATTTTGAAAGCCATTATGGAAGCTGGTTTCGTGGCCACAGAGTGTTTACAACATAAAACCAACCAGTTTTCCGATTAGTCGTTTTTCTAGTAGGCTGTATTTGATGTTATCTAAGCGTACACCAGTAAAAAGAGGGGAGCAGGCATATAAGCCTGTCTATTTTTTTATCAGGGCTGAAACAATCAGAGTAATCATGATTAATTGATCATTGAAATAATTGTCAACTAATTTAGTAATCAATTAATTGTTAACTGGAGAATTGAGACTGTAAAACATGCCTTTAGCTGATAGGAAACTCACTTAGAGAAGTAATAATACCAAAATTGTAAAAATAAAAAAAAATTAAACAAACCTGGTTTAATTTCTAAAAAAATTAAGGAACTTTTGCTAATAATCGACAGATTGATCAATTTGCAAAATATGGTTAGTTCCAGCCCTAATTTTTATATTAATTTGTAAGAAAAATAACTAAGTCTTAGTCAATTACAGAATCTAAATGGCATACTTATACTTTGTTATTTTAAGATAAAATGTAAAAAAGGTTCCAATGACAAGGCTACTTTCTGCTAAATGTTTCACCAATGCAAGAACTGCTCAGATCAACATGATCTATTTTAACAACTGGAATAACGGCTCACGAGTCTCTTTTGTACATTTAAATCCATGGGTGTTCTATACAAACAGAGGCAGAAAGGCACAGCGGCACGTTGCAGCTTGCTGCCTCTCAGTGCACTGTGAATAGCTGTGGTTTTCTTTCTAGATGGGTATAACTTGAGCTGAAGGTGCAGTAGGCAAAGCCACCTCAACATCAACTCCCCTGCATGCTTATTTGTAAGCCCAACTTCGAATACTGAGCTCATTCAGGGGGAATCAGTAGATTTCACCGCTGACCGGGGGAGACGAGAGGTGCAGCCCGCTCCGTTCTGTCTCTCATTATCTGCTGCCTGTTCGTCAAACTAACTAGAGCCAGAGAAGAATACCTGCACTCGCTTTGAAGGCCGTGCCTGACTACAGTAAATTATTAGCTCTCCAGCAGCACAGCTCCAGGCCCTCAGGACACCCCGGGGCTGTTCCACTGTGGGTGCCCTTACCTGTCATTCCAGCTGTTGGGCATCTCTCATTGAGGCTGACAACAAGTGCTACGCCTCACAGTGGTGCTACCTAGGTTGCTACTTTCTGAGAGGCAGTTGGGCGAGTTAATATAGGCCTATAACAATGGAGAGAGGGAGATGGGGAGGAGGGGCTGGGGGGTGAATTCAAATTAAATAGCCAACATTCCTTTAAAAGGAAGCGAAGGTAGCCTTTGGGTTTCAGACAAGCCAGAACTTGCAAAGCGTGGGTAAATAGAAGAGATGACAAGTGCAGTGCTACTTCTAGTCTAACAGAGCGTAACAGGAAGTGGCAAGGCCTGCTTCACATGGGGCTTCTAGAGGGTAGCGTCTGGGTGAGAACACGTCAAAGTCTCCACAACCACTAGCACCAACCAACACCCTACACAAACAGCGTGTAATGACGAGCAGACCTGATCATTAGAAACACCTAGAGGGGGAGGGAAAAAAAGAAAAAAAAAAATAGAACAACTTGCTCTGAAAAATGCCAAAGTTTTGGAAAAAGAATACTCTTTGCACATAAAATCACAAAGAAAAAGTGTGACAAACTGGCTTGATAACCTTTTCTGTGAAGCATGACTAATAAAATCTCAACCCACAGTGTTTCGCCAACTGTATTTCTAGTTGATAACGTTAGTCAGATAATGAAACGGCTCTGCTAGATTTACGGTAATTAGAGTTTCCTGTGAAGGCAGGAAACTCTCTGCAGCTCTGAGGGAGCGACGTCCTTTAGTTTTCACAAGGCAAAAATCCTCATTGGTAATCAATTATACATAGACACAAATTATTGAACTCTGTCTGCTCTGAGGCGCCCAGTCCATACCGTCTGATCTGATGATGAGTGGTATAGAAAGACAGGAGGGCTCTACTTTTCTTCCCTTCTTTTCATGTCAGTATTGATTAGATGTGGTATTTGTTTTTGTTTTTATTCCTTCAGACTAAATGCTTTTTCTTTGTTTCGTATTACAGAGATGGTATCAATAATATGCTTATCAGGGCCATTATAATGGCTGCACTCACTTGCAGAGAAACATCCATGCCCTTTGAGTCAGGAAGTACTGTTCAGAGTTTACCACAGGACATATATTTCCCATGAAAAATAAAGACGGTGTGTGTCAGATTTGCCAAGTCTTTGGCCTACATGCACCCATCCTGGAGGAAAAGTCATTCACATCATCCAACAGGCTCAGCCATGGGATGGAAATTCACTTCCAAGCAAGATAATTACCCTTTCATACAACTACAGATACAATGGAAATGTTAAGATCAAAGCATAATCATGCTGTGAAAGGGCCCGGTCAAGGTCCACACTAAAATTCAAATAAGAATCCATCTAAGGGCTTGGAAATTGGTCCATAAAGTTGCTCTCCATCCATTTTGCAAAACAGAATGTTGTAAAATGATGCGCAAAGCTGGTAGAATTTACTTTGCTTCTCTTGCAGTTCTGAATGGTTTTATAAAGTACAGACATATAGGGAGTGAACACCTTCAGCTTCTCTCTCTGTAGAGGAAAATCATCCATACCATGTTTCACCCTGAGCTTGGTTGGTGTGCTAAGGGTAATTAGGTGTTTGTTCACTACTGCTTTTAAAAGAAACAGATAATAGTAACCTCTAACCATTCTCTGTCCCTGCAAAGGAAAAGCATCCCACAGCATGATGCTACCCCTGCCATGTTTCATTATTGCCGTAGTTGGTGTGCTAAAGCCGGGCGTACACTGTGCGATTTTTTTCAATCGTTGCACGCAGCTGCTGCGCACACTGTACGACTAACCGCAGGGTTTAGTCGTACGGTGCGAGTTGACAGCTCACGATTTATGTTCGGCCCGACGCTCTCATGCTAGAGTGAAACGCACTGCCTTGGCAATTTGTGCATTTTTGTGCCAAAAGCCCTAAAAAGAAAGGGTGATGACGTATTTGGAAAAAAGGCATGGCTAAGCAAACGTGGCTACTACGGTCTGTCCATTTTACAGACATGACTGCATTTCACTCATTCCATCCGTGCCACACTGCTGTGTTTACATCTGAGAGGAAGAGTCCTTCTTCCTCAGCGATTGGAAAATCGCCCCGAAAATCGCACAGTGTACGCCTGGCTTAAGGGTAATTCGTTGTTTGTTCATTACTGCTCTTAAAAGAGATAATAGTAACATCTAACCTTTCTCTGTCCCTGCAAAGGAAAAGCATCCCACAGCATGTTGCTGCCCCTGCCATGTTTCACCATTGGCGTGGTTGGTGTGTTTTGGTTGATAAGCTCTTTGTTCAGATAATAACCTCTAAAGCTTATCAGAATGTCTGCTGTACACTATTAATAACTTAAAAAGTGAAACGGGTTGCTCTGGACTTTATTTGGATGTCTAAGTTAAAAGAAGCTGAATCATATATTTCTATAAGGCATTATAATTTGTCTTATTTTCGGATTCCTTCACCCAAATCCAGACACTTGAACCTCAGCCTCATCTGGTAGCTGTTCTCACGCCAGTGCAGGAGAAAGCAGCTTATTTTTTAAGTTTTAACCTTGGTTAGCCTGTTTCCATTGGGCTATTTTGGCTTGATAAATGACATGGGAGGGGGGGGGCACTATTTGAAAAGAGATAAAAAAAAAAAAAAAAGATCAGATTTCACAAGGTCACCTGCAATAAACCTCCAACTGCCTTCCCATTACACAAACCGCCTCCCTTTGGGATTATTAAACTGATCTATGGTTTCAGGATAAAAACCAAAACAGTCTCGAATAAATCCAGGAAAAAAAAACAGAACATAACTCTGCTGCTACCTGAGGAAGTTTTCTCCAACTGTCTGCAAACTCTCAGCTCCTGGGGTTACGTGGTTTTAAATTTCAAGCAATAAAAAGTCACCGTTTGACGACAGACAACGGCTGTGTAAATTGTGGAAAAACAAAAGGCGTTATTAAGGAGAAAATGTCCAGAGAGGAAGCCTCCAGCTGCAGCGCAGCTCGCGCAGCATTCCTGGATGTGGACCCTACCACAGCCTTTTACTCTCCGGGAAACAAATATCTCCTCTAAACTCAGCGGGTAGAGGCGCAAAAAGCTCTAACAGCTCATTATGTAGACTGGAAATGGGTTAAAATGATTTACTCACCGGCTAATAAAGAGAAAAAGACAGCCGAAAGCGTGTAATGGGCTTCCTGATCGAAAGTTGCCGAGTGTCAGTGGGAGAAAAAAAAAAAAAAAACAGTACGCGGAAGTAGACATGAAAAAGAAAAGCGAAGAAAATATGGAACCCGTAAAGAGAAGTAGAAATAAAAAGTTACTAATCAATTTAAAAAGCAGATATAGTTCATTTTAAATTTCTTTTTTTTTTTAAACGATGGTAATGTTTGTTGCTTTAGTGTGTTTTCCTGTCATATAAAGCAGCGAACGGTTTCCGCGCGGTGTCACACAGAAAGCAGTCCCCATTCTGCTGTAACAAATGGCCTAACTTTGCTTTGATCATTTAGACTTACTAATATATGTACAATTAAAACAATCTCACCAATTCAGAATAGCAATTTTTATCAACTGTACTTAACCCTTTAATAGGGAACTCAGTGAAATACTTTGAAAAATCAACATTTCCAGCCAATAGTGTTATTGGAATCCAGGACTAGACCTTACTACCTCTGTAACGTTAAAAAAAATATGGATATTTTGATGGCAAAAAATAATGTGAATTTAATAACAAAATATGCCAACTTGCCCGAATATATATTTAAAAAAATAACAGAAGTGCTTCTATAAGAAATTCACGAAAAAGACTATGAGATTGAAAGACACACATTTTTGAACAAAATAACCTTAGAGGCATCAATGCTGATACTGGTACGTACATCTTTTTAGTTCATAAACCTAAATATAATTATTAACTAGGCTTGTTAACTTTTTAATTAGCTTTTACCCTTTTTTTTTTCCAACTTAATTTTCAGTAGGTAATATATCATTCAAGGGCTCATCTTTGGTCAAATGCCAAAATAAAGCCACGTAGCAGGATCTTTGCTGAATGGCTGGATATAGATCTAGTGCATCTAGACCTCCATTTGTGAGGGGTATGCAAGTGATCTAAAATGGTAACTTGCCCTATAAAGGGTTAAAGAGGTGCTGCTGAGGGTATTAGATTCGCAGGGCAACCCTTAAGCATTTATATAAAGAAAATAATTTAAATTATTCTGATTCTATTGGATATATTCTAACCGTAATAATCCTATAAACACACGTAAAATCAAAATCAAAGAGCAGTTATTTCAAATAGTTTTGGGTTTTCTTTCTGATTTTATGAAAGAAAATTAATTCTCATTATCTCATTAACACTTTTTAATAATCTAATTATTTAATTTGATGTGTGAAATTATAATCTAACCTTAAACTGATTAGTTTAGATAGAAATATAACATTCTCTCAGTAGGAATAGATTGCAGTCTGGTAGGTGAACTTTGCGCTTGTGTAGATGGACTTTATTGTAACTAAAGTACACATTTCTCGAGATTATTTCTGTCTTTAATATATCTCATTAGCGCCACATGGTGGACAAACATTGTTCCTACTTACAGTTGCAAACTGAGCTGAGCTAAAACAAGTCCTGTGTAATGTTAACAGTGAATAAATAAGATAAGGAGTGAATAAAGGTGCATGAGACCAATTTTATTAACTTATTTTTTTTCTGTTAAACCATTAGCTATGGGGAGGAAAAAATAACAGAGATCATTTGCAGCTGTTTTAATGTCCGGGTAGCTGTAAAGGTAAAATAAATTAAATTGGAGTCATCAGTTTTATTCCCTTACAGAATTGTTTTGGTTGAAAAATAATACAAGTGTTGCTACTGGTGCAAAAGCTCACACAGATTTTAGGAGAAATGTGTTTTGTTTCAAAGTAAAATAGAAAACTGACATTATTGGGAAATAATCTTCTTGCAGGGATTTAACTATATTTTATGGATCAGACAAAGATTAGTTGAAGTATAACAAGTTATTGTGTTTTTGTATAATTTGTACTTACATTGTTGTTAAGAGTATAAACAATAGTTTTTTTTCATTATTATTATCCCATTTTTATTCAAATTTTGGTTTTCATTACTTAAAAATTTCTTTAACAATTTCTATCTGCAACCTACCATCTAAACGTTTCTACGTAATCTCTATGATGCTGTACATATTATGTTAATTGACACTAAAGATTTTGTGTGAGTTGAGTCCCTTTAAATAAAACTCAACTCATATTTATCTGGTCACTGCTGCACTTAATAAATGGAAATATTAATTTCACTGTTGTAATCTGCTCATCTCTGTTTAAAAGCAACATGCATCACAATTTCATTTTGTATACACTGTGTATACAAAATGACCATATATTTCGTCTACTTCTAAGTCTAAATCATGTAGAAATTATTATTTAACACAGAACAAACGACAACAAAAAAGACAAAGAGGAGATAATTATTTTAGATTTATATCTAGATATTGTTGATATGCTGTTTTTCAAGCTGAAATTTACATACCGGTATTGTTTTTTTCATCCATCCATTTTCCATCATGCTTTATCCCAGCTGGGGTCCCGAGGATGTTTTTTTTCAATTCCTTGGTAAATATTTTATGAAAATAAAATATTATGTTTATTACTTGTTACTAATTTGTTTAATAAGTTTAAGCACAAATGTGTGGACTCATGATGACACAGCATATTGTACACAATTGTAATCTGTAATTTGAATAATCCTCTAGGATTTTCATATTGGGCTTTTAACAGTTACCCATATAGTTATTCTCTCATATAATCTTGTAAAGTATTGAACTCTTTTAAAATAGTGACACAACAATTACAATTAAAACATAGTGCCCTCCATATTTGCTCATAGCCCTGATAAGGATGTGTTTTTTTTTTGTTGTTGTTTTTTTTTTTTGAGTTTCACTTTTTAAAATCACACATATGTAGGCTTTGGCTTTCTTTACTGTCCTTTCTCCCTTCAAGGTTAAGTTCTTGTTAGGCTTGTTTTTCACAGCTTAATTTTTTCAGTATTTCTTAAGATATGCTTTTGATTTTCTTTTTTATTTATTTTTTTACTCTATCATATCTATTATTGTAGATATTGGTACGTTTTTTGTGAAAAGCCACATTCTTATAGCTATCTCCTGAAATGTGAACCCAACCAACAGCATTAGTAAAAGCCATGTTTGCATTTCTTCCTCAAATAAGGGGCAAATATATATATATATATATATATATATATATATATATATATATATATATATATATATATATATATATATATATATATATATATATATATATATATATATATATATATATATATATATATATATATATATATATAATATTTGTTATATATTGTATTATTATATCTGTTTGCTTGCATGTTCATTTGCACTATCATGATCACTTCATTCATTCCATAAACTCACCCACAGTCTGCTATCCAGAATAATATTTATTGCTTTCTGAAGATAGTATTCTTTTTCTTCTTTTGGCAAATTAATTTTTTTGTCTTTTTACAGTAAAATAAAGAACGATGATAAGTAGACTCACTACTTTTTCAATTTGGGATGTGTACACACACATACACGCAGAGAGGAAACAATATTTACAGCTTTTTCACATGACTTGTGATCTTTCCTGGAACAACTCAACAAAACATAAAGCTTTACAGTAAGTTTACAATAGCGCGTACACAACGGATCCTTAAAAGTGACTCTGTCTGGCAGAAGGAATGCTGCTAGGAAATGAGTTTTTTTTTTCCCGTCCAATCTTTATCAATGTTTTTCAGCAAGAATATGTGATGAAAATAGACACCAATTGAAAAACAACCAAAGCAGATTATTGGGAAGGGTTAAAAAACAAAACAAAAAGAAAGACCAATAAGTGTAACATTAGACTAATTACAATAGTTCACACTGGCTTAATGTTATCTAGAAAAAAAAGACTTTAACACTGTAAGGCGGTTCTTTTTCTCTGGGCATATGGTAAAAATAACCATAGGACACAATTAACTTGGGGCAGACAGAAAAAAAAATAAAAATAAATAAAAAATAAGATAGAGCTCTTTCTTCACTTTCAGATTGCGGATCTTCTTTCATTATTTGTTTAAACCTTGATACACCGACGCTTATAATTGTCCAACATGTTTAAATACTGAAGTAAATCACAACAATACAGGTAAATCTTATCATAGAGGAATCATAATTAAATGTCATGTACACCATATTAAAATATATACACAGAAGTATTCATACAAAGTTTGGGTAGATCCAGCTGCTCAGCTCTCTTTTTCAGTCCTGTTGATGAAAGTGCTGCAACAAATTCAATTATCACAGAGTGATGCAGGTAAAACATAATATTGGATATTGTGTTTTTGAATATAAAACACATTAAAAAGTGCATATTGAAAAAAAAATTAAAAAGCATTTTTCAACATTGTTTTACAAAAGTATGACAATGCTTTTACCTTTTCTTACATTTAGTCCCATAACAACCACAAAATTCCAAATGATCTTTTAAAACGTTTTTGATGAATCAACATAAGGAAATAAATAGCTAAAAAAGAAATAATACACGGTTTCCCTAAAAATATGGCTTCCTTTTTTCTTCAACCCCCTTTACTTTGATACCCTAAAATAATCAAAAACAACAAGCTGCAAAATATCCCTTAATACTGTTGTAAAACGTAGGGAAACAATAAAACATGAGGAAGACCAAGGAACACAGTGGATTGTCAGAGATAAAGATGTTAAGCGGCTGAAAGCACAGTTAGGTTTTAAAGCAATATCCCTGACAGGCTGAAGAAGGAAATTATTAAGCATAAAAAATCTGTACTGTATGGAAACATGGGAAAAAGAGTGCCACTGCTTCAAAGTATTCAGAGATCCCCTTCATTTCGCTTCATGTGTTTGACAAAGTGTTCTTTTCAGAAGAGTCCAAAATATACATATTTTCCAGTTAGTCGCAAAGTGCTATTAATGGAAGAAAACTGACATTCTGTTGATAAAATTAAGCATCTAGAGGTACAAAAGAATGATTAAGGTCATATTTATGAGGAAAAATGGCTCAAACTTGAATAAATCACAATAGTGGAATTGACTGATACATCCCATTGGATTGAAAATAATGCATTTTTCTCCTTTTTTCACAGTTATGTGATAATTTTAAGAAAAATTAAGTAGCAACATACTGTTATTTTTGCTTGTAACGGGACAAAGGTTTAAGTTTTGTTAATACTTGCAATGGCACTGTAGGGAATAAGGTAAAGGCTGTGTAGCCAGTATTACCAAAGAAAACCAGTAGGTGGCAGTATTTGACTATATCTCTGAATTGCATGTTTAAAGTTCTAATGCAAATATGTAAACCTGTACAGTAAATTTGCTTTGATTATTTACTTTTTTAAAATCTCTGGACAAGTATGTCCATTATTTCCCCAGTCAGATCTGAAATTTTCCACCTTGTTGCCCTCTTCTTCAAGCTTGACTGCAGACAGCAAACTGAAAGGTTCTTACACATATTTATTGTGCAAAAAAAAAAATAATAATAATCCAAACAGAATAGAAAGTTAAAGAAATGACACCATAGCAGTTTAAAATATTGTATTCTAATCTGGGGGAGACAGTGGGGTAATAAGTGAAGAGCTTATACAGAAAACAGTTTCAGAAGCAAATAACTTATTTTATCTGGAAATAAAAATAAAAAAAACAGTCATGGATGAAGATTTGATCATCTAAAGCAGGAAAGAAGAAGAGAGTTATCAGAGCGTAGGCCAGACAGGATGGTTGGAAAATGTCTTAGCTGTGGATCATTTTCAGAGTCTCTGCCTCCCTGTGTCTGTCATGCAGAGCCATGGATGGGGAGAGCGTTGGAGGCAGGGAAGGAGGTGGAGGAGTAAGGGGCATCAGGCCCTTCAGTGGATGAGGAGACACTGGTGGGGGGAGTGAGGCAATAGGAGGCAGCAGACTCCCCTTTTTTCCATCCAACACTAGGGGTGAGCGGCTCACAAGGCTGGATTCTTTCCCAATGCCAAAGTCATGATCGTTCTCATTGTCTGAGCTGCAGTCGCTCAGATCCGTTATCTCCAGGTCGGAGTCTGATTCCGGGTCCTGCTTCACCCCGCCCCTCCTCTCTGTGGGGCTCTGCTGGCCCGTCCCGGCTCCAAGGCTGACGGCCCCCAATCCCAGACCCAGGCCTGTGCTTGGAGGGCTTGCCTCCACCCTCTCCCTTTCCCCAAGTGTCGCCCCGTTGCCAATCTCAGTCCGACCCATTGACAGGCCACCTGGGTAGGGCGGCAGGCAGAGGCGAGCCGGCTGACCACCCGCTGTGCCATTTGTCCCGGCAGTCTGCCCTGGTGCTCCCCTTTCACCTCCGGCAGCCTCCCCTGGGGGAAGTAGTGAGGAGAAGGGGTGAGGCAGCTGGGAAAGGCTGGTCTGCAAAGGATTGGGGTAAAACTGGGAGGGGTAGAGGGAGCCGGGGGGCAGTTTGGGGCAGTTATTGAGAGAGAAGGCCCCTGGGAGGTACGGGTTGAAACTCCAGGGGTAGTCAAAGGGTGGGTTGCGAGGGTAAGGGCCCAGCAGGGACGGGGGTTTGGAGTAGCATGGGGCACCTAGGAGAGAGGAGACCCAGGAAGACAGAGGTTAACTCTTGGAAGGGGGCAAAGGTTTCTTGACTTACAAGATCCAAGAATGTTCACTAATTATAGCCAGGATTTGCAATTCAAATCAGGAGACACAGGGGCTAATTCTGGCACAGTTGCCTGCAAAAACCTGATGGTTCATTTATGCATGCCAGTGCTGTGTTATACACCCACTTCACGCTGCATCAGAACAGATGTGAGCACAGATCTGCACTGCAGGAAAAAGTGATTAAACAGAACTGAAATCTTACAAGTGACTATTATTAGAGATGGTCTGAAAAGAAAATGTAAATGTTAAACCATAGAAAAATGACTAATATGTTATTACATTTTCTTTGATTACACAAATGTACTTCTCTACAAATTAATCAATGCGCTGCATTTTAATTCAGTTCCCTGTAAATATTGGTTGCTAACCCAGATAGGAGGTAAATCTGAGGTGAAGCCGTGATTCAGTTTTAATGAACAAACAAATACATTGCCTCTCAGCCAACCCGACTTCCTTCCAAATGACAACCAACTCAGAGATTCTGTCTCTGCTGCACCCTCCACCTCTCTCCTAGTCTCACTCTTTCTTTCCCTACCACTCCGTTATTTACTATGCAGGGCTAATTTGACAGTGCTGAAGTCTCTGCGTGCTGGGCCAGGAGTAGCTGGCAGACACATGAATATTGAATCAGTCAGGCAGGCCTCACTTGCTTATGAAAACACAGTAATGGGCGCCCACAGGCCACAAACCGAAGCCTGCACCCTCAATTAGGGCCTTCCTGCCTGGGAAGGGATTAGGACAGCAGGGACACATGGGAGGGGAAAGGAGGGTGTGAAGGAAAGAAGGGGGATAGGACCTGAGGACAAACAGAGGAGGGAGGAGAGGTGCAGGGTTGTGTGATGAGGCTTGCATGTGTGTCTGAGTGCATCTGTTTACATGCTACCTTTTTTCAGATCGTGCAGAAAAAGAGATGCATTTGAAATTAGATGAATTAGACACGAACCCCTCCAATGTTTGTTGACACTCTGATGAACGTGCAAGATCATGATGCAAAAACTGGAATATGATTTCTTCAGCCACAGACTGGTTTCTTACCTCTGCATAATTGACAGAGTAACCTGGCCTCTCTCACCTGCAAGACAGCCTCACTGCAGGCTGCTGTGGGACAGCTATCGCTCCTGTTTCCTTTAACAATAAATGTTCATGCCTCCTCATATCCTCTATCCTGTCTCTGCTTTCCTCTGTTCTCTCTCTGCACCTCCAACCTTTTGTTTAAGTTCTAGTGTCTGCTAAAGAATAAACTCTATATGAACTGTTCCTGGAGTGGTTATAGTTTAGTTTACTGATAACAACTAATCGAGCTCACCTGAACCGAGGAAAGGGAATGTGTCCAGTCTCAATTTGTCTCCTTCAGGTCCTGGTGCTGTGGATCCTCGGTCGAACAATGACGTTCCTCTGCCAGTGTCTGGCAAACGAGGAAACAGGGACTGTATGGCCTAAGGAGCAGGGAAAGGAGAAATAATGATGTTAACACATGGATTTGGTCCACAGATATCGGAGAATCATCTCTTTATGTTACATCCACAAACTTCCAGAGGCAGATTTACTTCCTCCCTTCTTTACAGATCTGTTGTTTTTGCACAATTTATGTGTCAGATTATAAAAATGGTAATTGGACTATGAGAAAGTTTGAGTAAATACAAAAAAAGATTTCAAATGAGCATTAAGGATTAAAACCCTGATCAAAATAAACTTTCTCTATCTGAAAAGGAGTACCGTAGATGCATTTACCCTGTTGGCAATGACTGTTATTTAAGATTTACAAATGCTGATGAGTTATTCGCTCTACTTTGGCTTGTTTTTTGTTTTTATCAAAGTCACATGAAAGGGTTGTGAGCATAAATGACCTGTTTAAGGTTGCATCCCAGCTTCTCAATTAATGTAATTCAGTTATTCCTAAACCTTCTTGTTCTCTGTGTGTTTGAGCTTAAGTCCAACAACTGATAGCCAGTGGCAGTTCCACAAAAATGATAATGCGGTGGCTAAAATCTAAGCTATAAACTATAGGTAAATAAACTTGTGCAACATCTGCATTTTCCAAGTAAATCACTGAAGATGGACGAGATTTCCATGAGGCCTTTTGATAAGAAAGCAACAGTCAAATTCATTAGTTACATGGAAGATTCCTGGATGCCTGCAAAGACAAAGTCTCCCATATATAATCTAAAAAATGAATTCATAGAAGAGCAAGAATCCTTTTTAGGCATCTTCATCTGTAGTGTATTGTTGTGAATAATTGTTTGCTGTGTCTTTGTTGCCAGTTTTTGGAAGAACAATGTGTACGATTAGATAATTTTTTTAAATCTCAAACTGTATCCTGTCAAGGATACTGTGTAAAATATGCTCCCCCCCTTTCTTCCCCAATGCATCTCCTATCTTTCCACAGAGATGAAAGGCAGCGCTATAGGTAACCGCCTGGGACCTGGGGAGCCAGGTAATCGGTGGGAACCTGGCAATCCATAAGAATGCGCCGCTCTGCCGAATGGCAGCGTTCTGTGACAGGCATGGCCTCAGTCAATCTGTTTCCCCCCTCTCAGCCCCCCCACCTGAATGTATGTGACGTATCGTGATGAACGGTTGTACTGAAAGTAAAATGTCGATTGCAATGTAAATTGTAGTTGACAATAAAGACATTTTTGATTGATTGATTAATTGATTTGATTTGCCCATGTGCAAGCAGATATTCATTGCCTTAGAAAATAAAATTGTGGTATTTATTTCTAACCTTAAATTGCTAAAGAATGCTAAAACCACATATCATAGGAATTATTCAAGGACATTTCTGAGAGAATTGGGCGTGTTTTACATTCTTTCCTTTAAATTGCTTGTCTAATGTCATCATTGGACGTGCTTAGAACAGTCAGGCTAAATATGATTACAGAGTATTTATTTGCAATTTAGAGGTGCCTTTCTTTAGATCAGGGTCACCAACTTTTTTAAGGCTGAGTGCTTCTTCATGGCTACTAAGTCATAGGAAGGGCTACCAATACTGACCTATGAACTGACTGAATGATCTGTGAAGTGCCTTGGGATGACATATGTTGTGAATTGGTGCGACATACATAAATTGAATTGGAAAAGAGGAGTCATACATAATTAAAACATTTTTAATGTTTCTTTTCATTTCTAATTTCTGTTAGATATTGTCATTTGGAGTTCTCTATAAATGCTTAAATACTCTATATGTTTAATATGATAAAAGGCTCTATAAATTATTTAAAAAGAGAGAAATAGAATAAAATAAAATTTCAAACTCTGCCCACTGGTGAGTTGTTCTGATTTTAAAAGACGCTGAGGGATCCGAATGTGGTGCTTAAGGGCCCATCGGAGCCCTCAGGAACTGCTTTCGCTGCTTTTGATTATGCACTATATAGCATAAAATTACAATGAAAGGCAAACAGGAAACTCAAAATTACTACATTTATTTAAGAATTTCAAAGCCGAAATAAATAATCGTCGGATATACAGCAGGTTTCCATTTCCACTGAAGATTTGGGACAGACAAGTGATATAACAGAAATATATGAACGCACTTGTTATTTCAGGAAATAAATTGTTAACCTCTTACACATGATGGTTTAATATGTTTATCATAATTAGGAAGAAAAAAAAGTAATTTCTGTCTTTTCTATATTGCACAATCAAAGGAGATCCGGGTGTATTTCTGTTTGTGGCTGCGCAAATGAGCTGATGGTACAGATCGTGCTTCACCGTACAGATCGGTTAGTGACAATACTAACTTTTAAATGTCAGAGTACGACATTTTACATGATAGTATAACCACTGCCACCTTCTGGTTAGGAGGAAAACTGCATGTTACAGAGGTGGTGAACAACTTCCACATGGGAACAACGAATCACCACTGATTGGGTAGGGATGGCGAGGACTGTTGGCGTGATCTTTTTTCTGAAATGTGACAGTTTAATGACTTTTTGAATGGAGCGCACAATTTCCATAAAGGTTTACTTTTGTCTTATCAGTCCACACCATTTTTCAAGTATTTGTCTTCATTTTTTTTAGCCGTTGCTTTAGCTTGAAACTCTCCAAGATGTGCCAGATTTACCAGGTTAACCGGCAAATCCTGAAGGTATCCCACTGTGCCTCCCCTCTTCCTTTCCAGTAAACACCTACTCTCACTTTGGTTTAATGAACTGCAAAGTGGATGCTATGGTTTTAATTTTTTTAGATAAGTCTACTTTATGCTGTTAAGCCAGTCCTTTTAAAGGAAATTCTTGATTCTTAATGTCTGGCAGTAACCAGACCAGGGTATGGTTTGTGAAACGGAACAAATTTCCATTTACTCGTTTTTTTTTTTCTAATATCACAGTTAGTTTTATGGCCTGAAGCATTGTTGAGGGGGAAAAAAACATGCTTTTTGTTTTATTTAACAGTCATATACTACTTTGAATTATTCTATCTGATAATATCCAATTCTGGAAAGGTATTGTAATATGCTAAACTGAGTAGATGAATTCCTATCCTCTCCTTCTGTGGCGTGCAGCGTAAAGTCATATGTTGACAGCTGCACCCTGCAGAGTGTGATGCAAACAGTGACACAGTCACAGCAAGGACAGGATAAAAGGGGGCGCACTGGGACTCACTGTAAAGAGGAATACAGAGGCTCCGAGTTTCAAAGACAGGAAAAGTACAGAGTCAAGTGGCGACCAGCGATTAAGATATTTGGGACCGAGAATGAATGACAAGGAAAGGATTGTGGGCCAGTTTGAGTAAAAGGACGCCTTCAGGAAGTAGGACCGCTGGTGTGAGTCGGTCTATTGTATATATTTTTTGTTTCACAGATGTGATTGAGTGGGAGACAAGTTAAAGTGTAACAGCTGAACCTTGGGAATCAAGGGACAAAGGTGGGATTCTTCTCTCTCGCTTTGCATAGCGCTGGATCGATAGTATCTGTCACCAAGTTTGAAAGTTGAGACTGTACTTCCAAGCTGGGAGATCTGCGTTGCTTAACAAACCGCATTAATGACCCACTATTGATCTGATCTGACACGACCCCCTTTACTTTCTTTTTTCTCTTTCTCCTATTTCTTTCATTTTCAGACGATGACAGATGGATACACCGTCGGAGACGGGGATGAGAGAAGGAGAGGGATAACGTCTTCTTTTATTCTAAGGGCGAGATTAGACCGTCCTCCTGCTTGTGTCTCCTTCAGAGTCTGCCGCTCCTTATCCCATCTGAAGGATGGTGTAGACGAATGATGGAGGATTCTACCCCCAACTGTACTTTCAAGTTACCTTTGCCTTCTAGTTCTGATCTGACTACATTGCTAAACCTTATCTTTTCTTGTTTTCAAATTTGCCATATAAATAAATCTATGCGGATATGTTGGAAGCACATCTTTGAATCTAGATATCTATATATATATAGATATACAGATCATATAGATAGATATACAGGTAAAGACAAAGCCTTTTAGAATAAAAATAATATTTCTCTATAGAGCTCTCAGATTTTAAGAGCTCATTGAGGTGTAAGCTACTATCCTCAGCATCAGGGATGATAAATATATGATTGGAGTGATAAGTGCTATCAATCTCTTGTGAAAAGAAACTACAACATCTAAGAGGGACAGGAGGGAGCTTCGATTACCTGAATTGGATCACTCATTATAAAACAACAAGAAGCAGAAATAGATATTTGTTTTTAGTGTACTTTTCTTTCTTTCTTGTCCATTTGTTAGTTTTGATCTACCAGCATCTGAGTTCTCAGATTTGTCACTGAATACTTTTCTGTCCCTGTTCTATAAAAACGGTAGTGTTCACAAACATTTATTTTACTCTAATGCGCTGAGACACTCCAAAGTTGTGAACGAAACCTATATAGACTCTCATTTTGGATTTCTTCAATCAGGTTAGAAAACAGTGCAAGTATTAACTTTTTTTTTAATCTTGTTGAAATATATCCTGCTTTTTTTCCCCCCAACAGACCGATACCCAATATGTATATATTTTATAATCATATTTCCATGATTTAGCCTCCCAAAAATTATACTTTGTGTGTAGTATGACCCATGCAATCATTTGCTGGGAGGAGGCAATGATGCTCTGAATGTAGACAAGGTTTTAAGGAGATGTTCTTTCTCCTCAAGTTTTGGTGAAGACAGAAGATGCAATATGAACTTCACAGATTCATTTGTGATGAATGATTTTGTTTTTATGATGCCTTTCATTATTCATCTAATTTGGGATACATTTTTCGGATTCTCTTTTTTCCTTCCTATCACTCGGGCCTGCATATTCCAGCAAAAGAGAGAAGGAAGGGATCATTAGAATTTTAAGTTACTTTCTAGAACAAAAATTAGTGACCCGATCCATAATTGAGGAACTAGCTCTCATTTTTACATTTTGGGAGCTCTATTTAATGTTTTGTAGTTAATATCAGGTGAGAACTGAAAATCATGCTGTATAATCTAAACGTATCATTGAAAACAATAAACTTCGAAAAAAGCGGATAAACCTTTAATCAGTTGATACAATATTATTAGATTTAAGTTTTTATTACATTTCCTTGTATAACTCTGAGTAATTAGAGTTACATTATTTGATTTATTCAGTATTTTTCCTTTTAAGGAAAGGATTGAACTAATCAGGGATAAATAATTAGAAATTACACATTTGTTTGATTTATTCCATCAAGTCTTGCAACAATTAATTTTGGTTCCAAGTTCAAATATTATCAGTTTATTGATTAATGAATCTCAATCTGAATTTAATCGTTTGTATTGTTTGATAAAGTTTGTTCAAATGGAAGATAAATTCATCTTCATTCATCTTTTTAGAAGATGATGGGATTGATTACGGCGCTGATCATTTCTGTGCATCCATGTTCTGTAGTTTATCAGCTGCTACTAACAAAAAGCATACAGTTAATCCCCTTCCCATCCCTTTATCCTACCGTTCGTACCTCTGGGCTGCAGTCCGGAGCAGCCGAGCCCCCGTTAAAGTGGTTCTGGGCCAAGAAGAAGGGCGAGTTTGCCATGTCCAGAATGGGGTAGTTAACCAGTACCACTTTACTGAAGTTAAACTTGTAGGTGAACCGTTTCCCTTTGGTTTTGTGCAAAATGCGCTTGTTATAGTAATACCTGCAGAGGAGGAAAGAGAGGGGGAGAGGATATCGATGCGGGGATGGATGGAGAGGTGGAAAAGGATAAAGGAAAACGGAAAAGGAGAGGGAAGGATTATCTTAATGCTCGCATCAAGGTTCTGTGTTTCCTCACTGTAAGCAAAGAATAAATAAACATCTTAGGTGCTGTGAGGCAAAGAGTTATGCTGATTTCCCACTGTTTTTATTCATCTCCTTCTTTCTTAAATCAATTCACGTCTCGCTGCCTTTATCAATGCAATGTGCTTTTTTGAGTAAATTTTTATTTAGTCTTTAGAAGACAAAGACCAGAAAAAGATCTAAATGCTAGATCCTTTTGAACTCCTGAGATAAAGTGCAGCCAGACTATTTCCTTTCATTTCCAGGCAATGTTGCACTTAAAACACAGTTTTTCAATGTTTTATGTGTGGAAAGTGGTGACTTTTTCAGGACCAAATTCAAAGATTTGTCAATTATTTTTGAAAAACAAATTATTTCTGAGGTTCAAGTATGAACATATGGATAATTTTCAATTATACACTGGAAGAAAGAAATAAGCATAAATGTCTTAAATTACGTGTATTTAGTCTTAATTTGAGTAGGTAAATGAGATAGTTTGCCAATGGCATGACTATTTTCACACTAAGAATAAGATAATTATATAATATGGACTGGAAACAAGACAATGCAATTGTTTTTTTCTTATTTTAAATGTTAATTGTCTGGTTCCATTGGCAAAATGCCACTTTTATCTCCACAATTCAAGAAAAAATGCACTTATTTTAAGAAAATTTCAATTTTTTGCAGTCTAATAGATATCATGATTTATACTAACAGCACCTATCACGATAGCCAACTATTTTCCAAAAAAAAAAAAAAAAACACCTTTATTTTTGCTGCTCATACAACATCAATAGCCAAGTCAATGCAGACCAACAAACTTTTCTGTCTCTGCAGAAATCTATCTTAGCATTTCTAAACACGCTGTTACTGAGTACCACAGGATTTCTCAAGTCCGTTTTGTACTATACCATGGCACCAGTTTTGAATAAATCAAAAACCTCTACAAAAAGATTTGTATATACCCTGTGTATGCAAATGACAATAAAAGTTGACTAAGACTAAGTCTAATTCGTTTTAAGACAAAAGCAAAGAACTGATTATGTAAAATTACATTTAAGTCTTGATGTCGACAACCATGTTTAGAATCAGAAAAAAAGCCACAGCTATGGGTTTTTAAAATAACAAAAAAAGTTATATCTATTTAAATACCAAGGGGAAATATATGTTTTTTTTTGTTTTTTTTTTCTCTGTACTTGTCAAACCACTTAAGTGAAGATTTTTATTTTTTTAGGGTGTTTTAAAGGCTTGTTAAAGGTCTTTTCTGTTTTATATTTATTCCACGATTGTTGCATAATTGGAGGGTTATAAATAATTAGATTACAAAATTTTGTGATACCTAAAATGATTCATAATTCTGGCAGATTAAGGTATAAAGTTGTGTTTTAGTTTGACGCACATGCTTCCTCTGACTAGAAGTAAATATATGTTTCAATTTGGCCTTGTTAGAGACCTCACTTAAATCGGAAAGAAAATGTGGAGGGAAGTAAAGATTACGGTGATTGCAAGACATTATTTGAACCTCAAGGACTTGGAGTTTATCGCCAAAGATAAAACGCTTAAAATATCAATAGAGCGATGCAAAATACTGATCAACAGATATAAGGAAGATCAGATTGCTGAACTAATAATACAGACTGTAACACAATGCCTTTTGCAAATAGTATATATTATTTTTTATTAAAGACAAGATAAATATATAATTTTAAATCAGTATCAACTTTATCTTTATTATCAAAAATGTTCTTGGGTAAAAAACAATTAAAAAATGATTTTTTTTTTTTTTTTATTGGAATCCACAGCTGAGGATTGCTTTGGTTGTAAAGACATTTAAAAATCTTTTTCTAATTTATTCTTTAAAAAAACTGTTAAGAAATAACATTTTCACATAAAATCTTTTTGGATTATGCCATTTTTAGAGTAAACGTTTTCATATGGAGTGGGAAACAAGTCTTAATCTGAATGTGAACTTCGAACACTGTTAGTGTCTAACACTACTGTGCGTATTCACAAGAAACCAAGAAGCTGTCAGCATTTCCAACAGAGAATCGGATAGTGAAATAGGTGACACAACAACAACAGTAGTCACCATGGTAGCGACCTTCGGTGTCTCCCCACGGGCATGTCAAGCCCTCGTCATGCCAGTTTCCTTTACCACCCACAGAGGTGTCACAATATACTGTCTGCCAGGATGCTAAGCTGATCAACGCTAAGAGGGTGGGAGCCATCTGGCTCAGGTGAAGGAGGTGAAATATTAGGGTTGAAAACAGGATTAGAGGGGGGGGGGGTCTGTCACAAAATAGCTGATGAGTTATCGCGAGATTCAGAAAAATCTCAAAATAACTCAAAAAAGAAAAAAAAGGAAAATCACATTTAGAGTCTCTAACCCAGCCTCAGCTTATTAAACCTGACTACAAAGCTCCTCATTATGCAGACCCACTCTATCAACAAACAGAGCAGAATGTTCATATCAGCATGTATTCACAGAGGCTGATCCCCGGTGCAATGATGTGTACATGTTTTGCTTTGCGTGGCATTTGTGCCTTGGCCCCTAATTGAGCAATTAAGTGAGGCTAATTAAGAAGGCTAATTGTGGCCCCAGCCAATTCATAACAATTAGACTCTGACGACAGCCCCCATTAACAAGGGGCCAAAGGAAAGCAGGAGGGGGGGGGCGTTATGCAGGGGGGGTGAAACAAGTCGGGTCGGTGAACGTTAGCGCGATAAAACTGTGAGTGATGGGGGGGGTGTAAGATGCTCCTTCAGTTTGGAGCTGAGTGCTTTCACTAGTCCAAGCAATTTTCAAACTGCGGCTGAATTTTGAAATCCCTATTGAATTTTTTATTTGGCAGCTCAATGGTGAACTTTCCATTAGGATGTCGGCTGATAAGGAGAAATTGAGGATATTGACATTCCCCTGGAGAAGTCTCGCCTTTATCTTTCTATTTTTACTGACATGAAAAAGAGAGGAGTTAAGTGAGGATTAAGTTTGGAGAGAGTAAACAAATAATGTAAACTGAGGGAGGGTTGTGGGATAAACCTATCTGATAGAGACGTACCGCAGCGCCCGGCTCAGTTTGTCATAGTTCATGTGAGGCTTGCACTTTCTTATCCCCCACAGCCGCGCCACCTCATCTGGGTCCTTGATGACAAACTCCCCGTAATCTCCCTGCCAGGCGATCACGCCCTGATACTCCTCCTTCTGTAGCAGCTCCAGGATGAAGTGCCACAGCTGGATCTGCCTGGATCCTGGACTCGATTCTGGCTTGTAGGCCCAGTCTGGGAAGGCGAAACCTTTACAGCAAGAAAGAAGGGGGGGGGGGGGATTGAGGGAGAGGGGTGTCAAACACAACAACAAAGGAGGAGAAGGTTAAGGCCTGTCGTTTGTCCCGCTGCTCGCTAGGGGGGGATTGCTGTCTGAATGACTGATGAGTGATGGAGCTGAGGGATGAGGTGTTTAATATCACAGCACGTGCCTTGAGCAATGTTAGTCTGTGCTAATGCCCTCTAGCCTCAACAGATTGGTCAGTAGGATGATGACAGCTCGCTGGGGGAGATCTGGTTGATGTTGCCTGGGCCTGAATTTTAACAGCGAACTACATTCACATCATATAAGACTCTGTTTCAGCCCATAGTTATCTGGCTCTAAGTAGCCTTGGAAAAAAACACAAGTAGATCCAATTAGCACCACAGTCTCCAGCATTGCTGAGGAATTTTCTTTTTTTAATAAAAAACAGAATTCTTAGCATAACTTTGACCAAGAGTTTTAGGATGGTTATGAGCCAAAATTTGACTAGTGTGTTTTCCTCTAAGTATTTGAGCAATTATTAAAAAAAAACAACAGAAACAGTTTGCACCAAAGTATAAAGAGAGGTATTGTTTACATTTAGCTAACTGGAATCAGACTCACCTGGGGTCCAGAGGGCGGGCACAGGGGGGATCAGCAGATCGCTGACGCAGTTGCAGTCCATGCCTCTACAAAACCTGAAACAATAACAACAATTAAACTTTGTTTTTTTATCTTCTTCAGATGGAACCAAAGGAATAGGAGAGAAGATCCACTCTTAGTAAAGTTTATGCCAGTCAAGCTGAGGTTGAAGAGCGTAAACTTTGCTAAAAAATAAGATATTGCGTAAGGGTGTAAGGAGCACTGAAAGTTGAGAACGGCACCTTAAAATCGATGAGAAATACAGCAAGGTTATGTTTCATATGTCTTTGGTGGAGATAAGGTGTTTGATGGATGTGATCTTGTACAGCCACCTGAGGCAGTGTCTGATGCAATGTGGTGGACATCCCTATAGTGCATTTCTAACTCTAGGAATTAAACAGACTTTTGAAAAAGCATCCAAAAAGCCACTGAAGCGTGCTATGTTAAAATATACATATAAATATATTCCTTAAATATATATTTAAGATCTTTGGTTTGTTCTCTCTGTGTTTTTAAAAGTCACAGTGCAATTTAAGTTGTGAAACATGAAACCCAAAGAACAGGTTAATTTTCTCTTATGATTTATAGGTAGACTGGGGCTGAATTTATGATGGTTTGAGGGTAAAACATTCATCATCTAAAGCAAAGTTTTCCAAATCTTCTTAATGTAGTCTCTGACCCAAAGAAATAGGTTGACTCATGACCCAAACTATCGCTTGAGTACACCAAATTTTCTACAAAATCATTAAACCACCAGTGTATTAATATTACAAACAACCTCAACAACCATAGTAGTTGGTTTCTTCTATTTCTGAGTGACATTTTATGCCTTTAAGCACTTTAAGATAAACACTTATTGCTAAGATTACTTTCTGTAGCTGATCTCAAAACCCCATATTGGTTTTAAAAGGTGGGGACACATTATAAAACGCTGGTTATAATATAAAGTATCCAGAAAAAGGAACACAATAAATAAGCCTTGGATGAAGTTCTAGATAGAAATATATTAATGTAAGATAGCGGCATTGAATTGAGGAGAGTTCCCTTCATGGCCACCTGAAGGCCGGGTTTTACAGTCCAGATAGGCACTTGAGGAAGGTAGTGGCGATGCCATAATTTGGGATGGAAAGATGGCCGGGGTAAAATACAAGGCTATTCTGGAAGGAAACATGTCAGAAGTCTTGAATCTTAAGAGCAGGTTCACCTTCCAGGAGAGCAACAGTCATGATTCAATCTGACTGAGTGTGAGCTATTCTTTTGGTGAGCTGGTAGAGACACACTTCAGATTTTTAGTTGTTTTAGACAAAAGGTCCCTTCATATCTGAAAGTGATTTTACAGCATATCAATCTTTGCAAGGTAAATGGGGCTGATTCAGCATCTAATGGGTTCAGAGCATGTAGAATAACTTGGACTGCTCTTTTTCTCGTGTGGTGCTCATATTAGGGTCACTCAGCCAGTATTTGAGGGTCTAATGAACGTGATGCTTTTTCTTCTTTAAAATCCAACAAAGGTGAACAATTTTACATATAAAATACAACACAGATGTTCACTTAAATTACATAAATGTTAACAGCATACTTATTGTCATAAGTATTTTTTTACTCTTTAAAAAGAATTTACAACGTCGTTTCTGTAGCAATTCCTTTTTAAATCTTGATTTGATAAGAAAAAAACTGAAAAAAGTTTCTGTCAGAGTTTTAAACAATCATGGAGTGTTGCTTCAATAAAAAAAGAAGAAACAAACCTTCCCAAACAGAATTGAATAAAATATGATGAATTTCTACGGATTTCTACCCAATGAATTTCAGCATCAACAAGAAACACCTTTTTATTGAAATTGATGTGTATTCAAATAAGAAGAGTTCACACAAAACTGTAGCAACAAGAAGAAAAGAAAAAAAATGCATCAATGAAAACAAATAAAGTCTTGCAAAAAACAAAACAAAAAATTCTATAAAAATTAAAACACAATATGCCCCCAAACAAGCAAAAAGTAAAATGTTATCAAATGTCTTTTATCCAAAACGCCCACATTTTCTTACTAGTAAATGAGCTGGACCTAATCACACCTAAATATTAAAAATCTACAGAAAACATTTTGGATTTTCACTCAGTAGCATCCTCTCATCCTGTTAATAGAATCTGAAGAGCATAATGAAAGCATCTGTTGACAGGAAGGGAGTTTTAGTGTTTCCATGAGGCCTGGATCAGGTTTGGATGTGTTGGTTTGGTTTGGGCGGTTCTATAAAACTCAGACAGAAGAAATGAACCAACTGTGCGCTGGTATCTTTAACACTGCCCTCTCTATGTTTCATTCCTTTTCTCTTCTCTTTGCTCTCTCTCTGCCTCTATTTAATTATGCTCTGTGAATTTTGGATTTTCCCTCCAGCATTGAAATGGAACGTGAATTATTAAGGTGTGTTTGTATAAATTATTATTGCTAACTCCAGGCACTTTTCTCTCTCTCTCACTCTCTCTCTCTCTCTCTCTCTCTCTCTCTCTCTCTCTCTCTCTCTCTCTCTCTCTCTCTCTCTCTCTCTCTCTCAGCCCTCTATCAGCTCTCGCCCTGATTCTGTAGCCCTTGGATGGCGGCCCCATTCCCCCTTCTTCTTCTTCTGCTCCTCAACCTTTCTTATTTTCAGCTCCTTTTGTCCACAACTTTTTTTTCTCGCTCTTGCCTTTTATTTGTTCTTATCATTCTTTTTTTTCTCTCTGTAATGTTACATGCACTTTAAAATAAAACTAAAAACTTGCTACATGCCTTGTTTTGCATATGATGTCATGCCATATCCAAAATCTCCTTAACCCATCACACAAACACTTCTTTTTGATTAAATCTATCTGAATGAAAAGTCGGATCCTTAAAAAAATTGGAGATTCTTTGTGTTGGAGGTAGTAATCTATACGTTTTCTAGTCCCTGCGGGCTACAGGTCATCAATACTGCATCATCTCTTTCATTTACCATATTCCTATGGTCTACAGCATGTATAGACTCGTCTCCTCTGAGGGCCATATGCATGTGCTCCTATCAGTAGGGGGACTCTCCAGCAACCTCTCCAACCACCTACGCACCACCTCAGATCCATACCCATCCACATTTTTTTTCTTTTTTTTTTATTCTCCATCCTCCAGCATATTTATACAGGTGACTCCTCCTTTCCTGTTTCCCACCTCCTTCCTTTCGCACACACCTATCCACTGTCATCCCTTACCCCCCTCCCTCCTGCCCCACCCACCTCCTTTTAACACCTACTCTGTGTGTTTTGCTTCGGCGCGGTAATTTTCCGTTTGATTTTGGAGGTAATGCATTTTTTACAAATCAAAGAGGAAACCAGCCTGCCCCTACCTCCTCCTTCTCCTCCTCTTTCGTCTCTCCATCTCTACCTCCCTCTCTCATTCTTTTTTTTTTTTCTTGCCCAGTCTCCTGTTCTTGCCCCTATCGGCCCCCCAGGCCAGAGAGGAGATAAAGGAGCCCCCATCATTTCCTTGTTAGTTTTGATTTGGGCAGCACAGGGCTTTCAAGTTCCCCCCATCACCCCCAGAAACATTATAACTAGCAGCCCAGGGAATACAGTTCCTCGTACACACACACAGTTGCACACGCATACACAAACTGTCAGATCCAGGCCCTTGCAGACTGTAATGGATTGCACAGTCTCAAACAGACTCTGCCAAAATGTGCGAGTATCCAGGTAGCCGTCGCATGCACACAGTGGGAAGCAGTGCACAAAAATAAGACATGGAGCCCATAGATATTGACTGAATCAATACTGACACACTAACACACATCTCACTGAGCAGAACGTGAGAATCCACTTTGTTTATTGTGCTGATTGTACGAATAGATGGGGGCAGACACACACAAAAAGACTCAAAGCACTTTGGTTTGCAGAAAGCAGCAATGGAAACAACTGGCAAAAACAAAAGACCTCTTCCACACAAAAGGTTGCCAATAAGCTAAGCAAGGATGATGGATCACAAAGTTAGAAGCATCTCAATATACACAGACACAGGATTACTGTAAACCTTTAGATATCGACTTAGAAAAAACAAAACAACTTGTAATTTTTATCAATTAGAGCAAACATAGAGGCCTGTGCTGGTTTTATCAAACTGATCATCACTACTGATTACCCTCTGGTTGGCTGATGAGTCGCAGGTTTATGTAACCTGACTTGCAGCACTGTGTGTTTGGCATGGGGAAACATAAGAGTTTAAGGATAAAGAAAACTTGGAGGCTCATGATTAGGAGGTTAAAGAACGTGGCTGTGTCCCGATCTCCACCCGAATCACTATATAGGGCGCTATATAATGTGTTTTAAATGAGTGTCCAAACGTCTAGTGGATAAAAAAGTAGTGGACTCAAAATTTCCCACAAAGGACCTTGAAATGTAGTGATCATCCATTGTCACTAGATTAGCAGATGTATCCCGGAATGCTTTTCGTGGAGAGCTCTCCTCGCAAAGCATTATGGGACATATTGCTATCTGACAGCAGCGACAAATAACAAAGATGGCGCAGGCACCACGCAGTGGAGGAGGGGTTTGCGACCAACGGGGTGCAAAAAGAAGTGATCATCTGTCCGTTGATGGGATGAGTTAAGGAACAGTAAAAAAAACAATTTCTGCTAAGGATAAAATCCTCGATGTTAGATTGCTTTCATATTCTTATAGATACTTAGACATTCACTAGTGCATCTTTTGTTCACTGAAAAAAAAAATTCATGCATTTTTTGCATCTACTTAAGCATATGAAGTTAGTTTACTCCAATTGTTTCATGTAATACAATAACAAGAAAAATCTGTGTTAGAGTAACTTAATATGCTTAAATAGATGAAAACAAATGCATGAATTAGTTTGGGTCTGATTGCCTTAAAGTCTCAGGGCAATGTATTGTCCTTAATGCTTAAGAAGTTATTTTATTAAGAAAAATAAGACAACTTGGGTTAGAGATGTCTCTAAATATACAATAAATTAAGGTGTTAATTATAGAAAAGGATATCATGTAACATATGTAAGAAATAATAGAAAATGATTGCTGGGATGTTCCATTA